CAGTCCGCCCCCTCCCCCGCTGGCGGGGCCCGGACAGAAGATGGTGCAGAAGAAAACAGCCGAACTTCAGGGCTTCCACTGTTCGTTCAAGGTGAGGGCCGGCGTCGGTTTCGGGGGGCGCGCCAGGCCGCACTACGGGAGTGGCCGGTGGGGGCACGGAGCTCGCCCCTAGGGTTCACCCCTGCGGCTCCTTAGGCCCCCACCTGCGCCCTGGCTGCCCCAGGCCGCGTCCCGCGGCTCCTTGGGGCTTTCCTCCTGCCCCAGGCGGCCGCAGCCCCCACCCTGACAGTCAGAAATCCTAGCTGTGTCCCCAGGGAGCCCCAGTGGGTGCGCTGGCCGGGGGCTCAGCAGGCTGCAGCCCTGTCCCCAGGCCGCGTGTGGCCGGGGCTCCTCCGCCGAGAATCCTGGAGGGCTCTGGGTGTCCCTGCAGCCTGTGTGCCCCAGCGGGGGGCTCCGCCGGCCACCTCCTGTCCTCACCTCCCAGTGGCCTGTGGGGACTGTCTTCCAGGAGCGGTAGGCTGGATGTCCCTTGAACACACCCCCGTGGCCCACAGAGGCCCCCAAGTGCCGTTTCCTGTCACTGTGGCTGCCTGGCTGTGGCCATCGCCAAGTCCCAGTCTCAGATGAGCAGCTCCGGTGGGGGTGGGGTGGGGAGGGCAGGGACGGGGCAGGGCCGCCGGGCCTGGCCCAGGGGACGCAGTGATGTCAGCGGCCACCCCACCCCGCGGCCAGGTTATGTAATGGCTTCTTGGGCTTCCTTGGCAAGGACCTGTTGCCCGGTGGAGGAGGCAGGGCCCGAAAGTGTGCGTGTGCAGTGTACACACGCCCGGCAGGAGGGGCCGCAGGACAGCTTGGTCAGGCCCCGTGACCTGTCACCCTCCTTGTTCTCGAGGGCAGCGTTAGGTCTGGCCCTCCAGTGAGGCTGGGGGACGGGCTGGGTGTGAGCCGAGACGGGGTCACACACACGGCCAGTGTCGCAGCCAAAGCAAACTCTAGCTTTCTGGATGGTTCCAGCCGCCTCCTGCCAAAGCCTGCTGACACGAGGCCCGCAGCCAGACGGGGCGGGCTGGGCCAGGCCGGCCGCCCACACTGCTGGCCCGTGTGCAGGGCCGCCGGACAGCCCTGCCCAGACTGGGCACAGGAGTCCCCTAGGCAGGCCGGAGGAGGCGTCCCAGGTAGTCAGGGACTGGGCACTCCGGGGTGTCTCCCCTGACCCTGGGGCCACCTCCCGAAAGACCCCCCACACTCCGTCAGACCCAGCGCAGCAGAGGTGGGAGGGAGTGCACCCAGGGAACAAGGACAGGAGCCAACACTGCCTGGCACCTTCAGCAGGGCTGTGACGGGGTGTGGACCAGTTACGGCCAGGCCGAAGCTGGCCCCAGCAGCCCTCTTGGGTCCTTTGTCCTTTGCAAGGTCCCACAGGCTGGTCAGATGGCAGGTGAGTGTCACCGCTAGCCTTTGACCCCAAGCCTGGGTCGTTCCCCCTCTCACCCCTGGTGTGGCCGCCCTGGTGCCACAGGCGCTGCTGGATGGGAGCCTTATAGCGGTGCGGGCGGGTGGGGGCCTGCTCCTGGGGGCCTGCCTCCTGGGGGCCTCCCAGTGCTCTGTCCTCGCCCTCCCCAGCTAAGCTGGCCCCAGCAGCTGTGGGGGCGCGACCAGCCTCTCGCTCCGATTCCACCTGTCTCTCCGTGTCGCGGGTGTCCTGGCCTTGGTTCTGCTGGTGCCCTCGGTATCTCCCTGGGGCACGACCTCCCATCAGAGCCCTGCCCCGTTGTCTACGGCACAGAGAGGGGCAGTGACTTGGCCAGGTCTCCCACCTTCAGCCCTGCAGGGGACGCCGAGCGCATTGCTTGCCCAACGCAGCACCCGTAGTCCCCACGCTTGGCCCAGTGGGGAGGCCAGGGATCACCTGCCGGTGCCCCCGGCAGCAGGGATCGGGTTAGGACTCGCTGACAGGAGCCAGCTGTGCCTCCGTTTCCCCGCCGTAGACCCACTGCTCGTGCGGGTGCCGTCGGTCCCGAGGCTGCGTGTCTGTCTGCAGAAACGTGCTGACCAGGCCGCCTGCGAGGCAGTGGGGCAGGCCCGGCAGCCCGGGCTCTCTCCCACCCTGTCCCAAGGCTGTGTTGGCTTGTCCCTTGCTGAGCTCCAGACTGTCCACTGCGACGGGCCAGGATTCTAGTCCTGCCCACCACAGACCCCTCCCAAGGTGGCTGGGTTTCTTAGCTGGGCCCAGGGCCTTCAAAGGACTGCCCCACAGCTGGGCAGGTGCCAGGGAAGGCCCAGCCAGACCCCTGCCACCCGCAGGGATGGCGCTGTGTTTCCAGGGATAGCCCTGGTGAGAGCCGAGATCCGCAGGGCTCAGTTGCCCCGGGCTGGGGGGGTTGCATTTCGGGCAGCTGCAGGGCACGGGCCAAGGTGGGGTGTAGGCCGAGGCTCGTGCGGGGAGAGGCAGGGGACCTCCGCCTGTCTGTATCCGGGAACGGAGGGAGCGGGCAATGGAGCGGGAGGAGGGTGCCCCACTCCGGGGCAGCAGGGCCTGCCAGGGCCACCCCGGCAGCACTGCACTGCCTGGGACGGCCCAGGGGACCGTGGGAAGCAGGTCTGGCTGCCTGGGGGGAG